AGTCTTATAAATGTGAAATATAAAGATTTAGTCATCCATATTATCAAAATCTAGCTAAAGTCCAAACTTTAAAAACCTTTTCTGCTCCATTAATAGTGAATTAAACTGTTGTTTCGTTCAGTTTCCATGTCCGTCCTACCTTGCTGCACTCGACCTGCTCCTCCCCCTTCCACAGGTCCTGCTCGTAGTAGTACAGCCCGTCGTTGATGGCTTTGAACAGGTCGGCCGTGATCTTGGCCCGGGACTCGTGGTTGCCCGTCCGGTCACCGCTGGGGTGCTTGCGGAGGTACGGCGGGGTCTGGGTGACGATGAGGATCTTGTTGACGTCCTGGTCGTCCAGCTCGTAGTCCGAGTCGTCCTCGTCCGACCAGTCAGTGAACTTGTTCTTCCTCGGCGCCATCTGCTCCATCTCCTCGTCGAACATGAAGTCCAGCTCCTCCTGGTCAGGCTCGGCGGCCGGCGGAGGGGCCTGGCGGCTGGAGGGGGGCGGTTTGTTGTCGCCCTGGAGGAAACGCATCAACAATAAATTAACAAAGGAGGAGACAAACTGCAGGATAAAATTAGGTTTTAAAAGTTTGTCAGTGTCTGAAAAACACTTCTTGATGAGAAAACGTATTCACCCTGTTGGAAGCTTTCCCCTTCTACTGCTTTTAAACATCAAACATTAGTAAATTTGCACAATTTCAGACAAAAAAAATGTGTATATTCCTGCAAAATGTAAGTATTTCAATGACTTTATTATCCTTTTCTACTTGTCAGTGTTTACTGTGATGCACCAATCATGTCAGATTTCTTGTACGTGGAAGCCAACTTTGCAATATAACTTATTTAATCACTCTTTCATGTCAAAGTGAAACCAGATTTTTACAAATTAATGTCAGTGTTGGGGGTTGCGGCAAATTAAATCAACAAAAACCTTTTTAACATTTAATCTTGGTCAATTCATACATAAGCCATGCAATTAAAGAATAATTTCTGCACGCCGTAAATATTTCTAGAACTATTTAATCACTTAAAACTTAATTTCTTTTTTTCTGCATTTTTTGTAACGTACCGAATTACCACGTAAAAATTTACCAAGCTGAAGCTATTTGGATAGATTGGAAACGGTACATTTCCCTCTTTTGTTTAAGATTTAATTCATTCACCTGATTGTCTTTGTATTAAGGTTCTTTTATTTGAATGAAAACGCCCCATGTTCATGTTATATCTGCTTTATGAAATTGTGAAAAGGAAAACAGGTCACTGTGGAGATATTACGATCTGTGATTAAGAGGACTGTGTGTGATGTGTTGCACGTGATTCCAAATAAAAGAAACAAATAAAAATTTACCAAGAATTTCGGCCCCAAAAAGCCTCTTTCTCGTCAAAGTGAAACCAGATTTCTACAAAGTAAAGTCAAATGCTAAATACTGACTTTCAGGGAGTGTTTAAATTGATTCCATGTTGAAAAGCGATAAAAGGAGGGAAACCTTTTATTGCTTTTCAACATGTAGCCACAATTTGCACATTTCTGCACACAGTAAACATTTTTCTGGAACTCTTAAATCACTTAAAATTCCTGGTTTTGCGACACCTGCTGTTAACTAAACCTGCAACATTCACTTTATTTTGTCTATTTGTCAGCATTTCTTGTAACGTACCAAATTACCACATACATTTCTCACATGTAAAACCCAACTTGGTCATTAACTTAATTTGATTTTTTTTTGGATGAGAATTTACCCCCAAAAAAGTCTCTTTCTTGTCAAAGTGAAAACTGATTTCTACAAGTCAATTAATTGAAAACACAAAATGTGAAGTAAGTGGTTGATAATTTGACTGGAAAGGGGTGTGGGAGATTAAACTGACCATGATTTAAGGCTGAAAAGCAATAAAACGAGGGAGGCAGCAGTTTTTTTTTTAGCCAAATTTTGTAAAAAGGAGGATAAACTGTCTAAAATTTCAAGTGGAAAGTTTCTATTATTCTGTAAAACACATTTATATCAATGAGGCAATCATAAATAACAGAAAAAAACTCAATAAATAATGCAAAATGACCATAAAGTTCATGAACAGGACGTGATAAACGTTGTGAAGGGAGGGTTTAGTGCACGGCAGCGTTAGATTTAGCAGGTTGGGTGTGTAGAGCAAAGGAAAACACAGTTCATGAGATGTAGAATCAGGTAAGAAAGGGCAAAAAGCAGAAAGAAGGAGAGTTACTCAACTGCAGAGGGAAGGTGGTCGGGTTGGGGCGATGATGAGGAGGGAGGAGGAGGAGGAGGAGGAGGAGAACCGGCAGCACAGACATCATCACTGACAAGCTGCCGGCCGGAGACGGAGGAGGAAGAGGAGGAGGAGGAAGAGGAGGAAACAGAGGAGGGAAATGAGGTGGTGAGAAACAGGCAGGTTAAGACAGAAGGGATTAAAGATGGAAACGTGGATGGGCAGGCAGCGCTGGGTGATAACAAACTGATTCTAGGATAATATTTCTAACTTTTAAGGCTCTTTATTTTAAAATCAGCACACTGAGGTCTTTTTTTTCCACCTGAAAGCTAAAGGAGACAAATTGTTTGCAGTCTGGAGCAACAATCAGGCTGGAATCACTTGGTCAAAGTCACCTTTATTACCAAACTGGTCGTCGTTTTATTTCAGTTTTTGTTCTAATCTACTGATTGTTTACTTGAAGCACTTTTTAAGACCACTTTCATAAAGTACACAATAAATAAAGACTATTTTATATATAATATAATAGAAGTTATCAAGTTTCTGCCACTTTTTTTGTTGTGTGCTGAAACTGAACGTAAATGCCCTAAGAAGCAATTTTCAGAGCATCTCAAGTCCAAATAATGTCACAGTCAGACAATAAGAATGTAAATCTGATCATCGTATATATTCCAGATAGTTAAAGGAAGATGATGAGAAACTATTAAAATCAACTAAATTCATCTTATTTACATCTGCAAGAGTTATTTGTCTAAACTGGATTTAATGTCTGAGTTCAAGTTTGAGATACGGTAAAAATAAATTAATCTGTTTTCCATTTTAACAAAGACTTTTGAGACGCAAACACAATTTCATTCCGGATTTCTGTTGATCTTTTACACCGGGAAAACACATGAACCTTATTTGGTCTTTATATGTTTTACTAGGTCTGTCTGCTTATTATTTTTTGTCCTTAGAATACATTACGATTATTATGTTTTTGTTTATTTTCATTTTATTTATATGTATCTATTATTTATTTCTATTTTTATTTCATTTAACATTTATTTAATTGTATTACTTTCACTCTGTGACCTTTTTTTTACGATTCTATTCAATAACAATAAAAGTTTTAATTCAACAATAAAAGCAGAACAGTGGCTCCACATTAAGCACAAAATTACACAAAAACCAAAGTGTTCCAACTTTTTCAACCCTTTAACTCTTTCAGGTTTTCTATTTCCCTAATAAAAAGCTAAGCAACACTTCAATTTAAAGGATTTTCTCAATAAAGTTAGAAAATATTTCCGTCATTTCATAAAATACTCAAATTAAGAATTCT